AAACATGGAGTCTAACTGATGTTCCAGAACTAAAGTTTGCTAGAGCTTGCTTCCTACACTGCTGCAAAAAACGTGGCCTCTGGGTCCTGGACAGAGCTGGAGAAAAATGTATAACAAAATTCTAACTCACAAAAAAGACCAGACTTATTGGCCTGACAGAGACTGGAGAAATCCCTAGAGTATGGCCCCGGGCACCCTTTTAGCTCAGTGTGAAGTCACTCCTGAGGTTCACCGTTCAGCCAAAGATTACATAGCCCCATAAAACAAAATGAGACTAATGGGGCACAACAGTCCAGGGACAAGAACTAGAAGGCAGGAGGAGACAGGAAAGCTGGTAATAGGGAACCCAAGGTTGAGAAGGGACAGTGTTGACATGTCATGGGGTTGTTAACCGTTGTCGTAAAACAGTATGTGTACTAACTTTTTTATGAGAAGCTATTTGTTCTGTAAACCTTCATCTAAAGTACAATTAAAAAAAAAAAGTGGCCTCTATGCCTTCCAGATCTTGTGTGTGCTTCTCCCTGGTATAATCTATATCACATCCACAACCCTATCACAAGGGTGTCTGGGAAATGTAGTTTTTAGCTTTCCAGATCCTGTGGATTATATGTGTGTGTGTTGCGGGTGTGTGAGGTGTCTGCTGGCTACAGGCAGAACATATGAAGAAAGTATGAAAGCCAATAGCACAGTGGTCTTAAAGTGCTTTGAATGGAATAGAGAATATTTCTCATTGATTTGGCAGCATCACAAAATGGGAGGCAGTGTGGCTCTGGGGCTAGAGGGACAGACTTTGGAATTAGAAAACCTGGACCAGTTTCTGGCTCTGCCTCTGACTAGCTGCCTATCTGGGAAAGCCATTTAGTCTCTCTGAAAATGAGGGTAATGCTATCTTCCGTGTGCGTGTCCCTCTCTATTTTACTACCAGCTCCTTGGTCTTGTAGAGGTTGTGTCTTATTCATTTGTATCCCCAGTGCCTAGATACTGCTCAGTAAATGTTTGTTCAATGACTGAGCAAATGAGTATTAGGTTGTCCCTCACTAAAGCCATTCTATGGTGACTAAACTGAGGAGGAGGAGAAGGAGGAGGAGGGGACAAGGGTGAGGGCTGGCATGGGGTGGATGAGGGTGGGGTTGTCACTGTTTGCAGAGAGAACGAACTTGTTCTTTAATGTGTCCTGAGACTAGCAAAGGATCCAACATATATTGAGTGTTCGATAAAGGATATTTGTATGAATGAATGAAAAGATAAGCCCTTTAGTTTAACCCCAGTCTTAACATATTTAAAATGTACGAAATATTTTTGGAAAAGAACACTTCCATTGCCTAGAACAGCAATCCTCTTCCCCTTTCTTGTTTCCTTGCTAAGCTGCAGGGAGTTTGGTTAGCAGTCCTTCAGATCTCTTTACCAAATCTTCTAACTGCAGTGCAAGCTGTTACCCTGGGCATTAGCTAGGGAATAAGGGGAAGCAAAGACTTTGGCCAAGAGTCCATCTCTTCTACCATTCTGTCCCACCCGCTTTTGGTCTCTAACATCCCTCACTGTGTCAGCTTCTCCTCCTTCACTCTGTACACATCTGTTCCCATGTTGGGGAGTTATTCGCTTTCTCAGTTCTCTGCTAGGAGTTTGAAACCCATCCCTTCCCTTCTGACTACACACAGCTATGTCATCATTACCTGGATTTAGTCCAAGGCTGAGGGGGGAGGCTCTCCCTCATTCTAGCCTGCTGCAGCCCTTTTTATATCTCGGAGTTTGATGACCCTTTCTGTAGACAGGACCAGGACTCTGTAAGTTTTTTCTGATGTGTATATAGTAAAAACAAAAAACATTACTCTTCGTTACTAATAAAAATCTGTCTGTGAGGGAATAGTTCTCTGAAGTATTCAAGTTAATACCTTGAACATTAATGTGCAGTGTTTAGAAAGATAAGAAAATGAGATCAACAATACAATTGGTTTCATTAAAACATTGGTAATATTTACCCCCATTTAATGTGGATTGAAGAGGGTTGGTGTAAAAATGGCATGGCAGGGACATCTGACCTCCTTTAACTTCATGAGGGAGAAGGAGAATCATGATAACATCCCAAAGCTGATTCATGTGAGGCAGAGGTCAGACATACCTCCACCCTCCAACCTTTTTACTAGTTCTGACAACAGCCATCTCTCCTGTGACACTCTCTATTTCTCTGCTGGGTTCGATAATTCATTGCAGTGGACACACAGAACTCACAGACAATACTCATGATTATGGGGTTTTTTAGGGAAGTAACAGGTTACAATTCAGGATCAGGGGCAACTCAGGATACCATTTTTCAATCAGGCAGTTTCTTCTCAGCCATGCCTGCAGGCAGGGCCTTGGACCCCCTGCTCGGGTAAGTGTTACAAAGCTCTTTACCTCCGCTGATAAGTGCCCAGAGGTACCTCACTTCGCCAGTAAGCCTCAGCCCAAAGGTGCTTAGCTCTTTAACTCTGTGGGTCGGCAAGCCTAGTTCCACCGACAAGTGTCCGGAGGCACCCTACTCCACCAGCAAGCCTCCTGCCTGAAGGTGCTCAGCTTTCTTGCTCCATGAGCTGGGAAGCCCACCACACTGTCTCCTGCCCGTCTCCTAGTTCTTTTGCCTCTGCTGCTGCTGTTTACTTGTTGCTGCTTCTTGCCATCTGTCGTAGTCATCTAGTGCTGCTATAACAGAAATACCACAAATGGATGGCTTTAACAAAGATAAGTTTATTCTCTCACAGTCCAGTAGGCTAGAAGTCCGAATTCAGGGCGCCAGCTGCAGGGGAAGGCTTTCTCTCTGTTGGCTCTGGAGGAAGGTCCTTGTGATGCATCTGTCTTCCCTTGGTCTGGGAGCATCTCAGCGCAGGAACCTCAGGTCCAAAGGATGTACTCTGCTCCCAGCACTGCTTTCTTGGTAGTATGAGGTCTCTCTGCTCCCTTCTCTCTTTTATATCTCAAAAAAGATTGGCTTAAGATGCTATCTAATCTTGTGGATCTCATCAATATAACTGCCACTAATCCATCTTATTATATCATAGTGATAGAATTTATAACACATAGGGAAATCACATCAGATGATAAAATGGTAGACAATTATACAATACTGGGAATCATGACCTAGCCAAGTTGATAGATATTTTGGGGGAACACAATTCAATCCATGACGTCATCTCTCGTTAGCTCCAGGGTTACTGCTCTCTCTGTCTCCTGGGTCTCGGATGTTCTCAGCACAAGGATCCTGGGTCCAAAGAATGCGCTCCATTCCTAGCTCTTCTTTCTTGGTTGTAGTGAGGTCCCCCCTTTCTGCCTTTGGGATGGCTCGTTTTCAGTCTAGCGGGATGGCAAACTGACCAATCCCCTCATTAGGGCTCCATACACCTTATTTGCATGGTATCACCCCCACCTTATTTGCATTATTACCAACCCATCTAATCCCCTTAGTGGACCACATGCACCTTATTTGCATAGTCCCAAGTGGCCATTTGGTGGGAGTTATAAGACCATGGTGAAAAAGACCATATAAAAGTGATCCATCACACTGCAGTTGAGACTACTTTTTTTTTCCCCTTTGGGGAATAAATGCATGGTGAATAATATTTAGGGCCCCCCCCCAAAAAGAAGCTTTAATTAGAATTTGAGTGTGTCTGTTTCTATCAAAAGGGACGTATGACTTATATGATACATTTCCAATTGTGATTGACATATTATTTGTGGATATTTTCTATCCTCCAGTATCCAGTTGTAGTCAGTTGATTCCGACTCATGGCGACCCCATGTGTTGCAGAATAGAAATGCTCCGTAGTTTTCAAGGCTGTGACCTTTCAGAGGCAGATCACTTGGTTTGTCTTCCAAGGCACTTTTGGGTGGGTTCAAACCACCTTTGGGCGGATTCAAACTGCCAGCCTTTAACCATTTAGGCCACCCAGGGACTCCATTTTCTATCTTAAGGGAATGTAAACAGTAGAACCAGATTGCAAGGGAGATGGTATCCGTGCTGTGATTCTAATAGTGCTTTCTGACTCTACCCAGCTTCACTTAAGGGGATTTTATCTATGGTGAGATTTATTTAGTAGAGTTCAATGTCATGGAAGGTTAGAAATTTTAAAGTTATATGTAGGGTCTTCTTTGTCAGTGAAAAATCATTTTATAAAATAAGACTTAAAGCTTGAATGTTTTTGCCTAGCTTATTTAACAGGTTAATTTCGATTGGTACCAAGCCTAGATAGTAAAGCTGTAGTACAACTTTCTTTTTTGTTTTTGCTTTCCCTCAAGAGCGGAAGTAAATCACATGTGGCTTGATCACATGTCTTCTGAGCAGTGACCATACACACTGGGCATAACAATTGCATTCATTTCAGCTCCACTATGACTTGATGTTACTGATTTAAATTTTATTGTACTATTAATTTCAGGTGGAAAAGGGGGGTTTTAATCCCTGGTTATGAGGGAAAAAGTTTCTAAGGGAGGTAGCTTCCTATTATCTACCTTTTAGTGTTTCTTGTTTATCATTTTTCTTTGAATTTGTTTCATTTTGATCCTTGAAAATCTGAAGAGGATGGAAATCTTAATTTTGGAATTATTTTTCTTGTTTGAAAGTGAAATTATAGGGGTTTTTATCACAATTTCCCTAATATATTATGGGGGGGCAGTATTTTTGAAGTTATTGGGAAGGGAAACCATTTAATGATGAATTGTCCTATAAAGTTTTATTTTTATGAAGTCCACTTAGTTAAGTTTATGTCTTTGGCACCACATTCATGCAGTTAGATGGTCATTGTGAACCATTTAATACAGGCCAGCCATCAAAACTAGCTGACTTTTATCAGACTTAGGAGTTGTTTTAAAATAGAGAATTGGTACCTTTTCAAATGTTTACCATATCAGTTAATTAAATATAATTCACCTCTCATTCTCAGGTGCTCTTGCAATATGAAAAGGGGAGTTTTAATTTTTTTTTTCAAGTAACTCAGTTAAATTTATAACATTTCATCATTTGTTGGCAGGACTTTGTATCATTATATCAGGACTTCGAAAACTTCTATACAAGGAACCTCTACATGAGGGTCAGAGACAACTGGAATCGACCAATCTGTAGTGTACCTGGAGCCAAAGTGGACATCATGGAAAGACAGTCTCATGACTACAACTGGTCATTCAAGTGAGTCTTGGTGGGGAAAATATCTCTTGAGAGCAACAAAAAATGAATTTCTTCATTTGAGAAAATATTTTATTGCAAATTGAGTGTTCTCTTGAAACAGGTAGCAGCTGATAGTATCCTCTGTCATGATTAGTTTCTTTGCGTATTGTTGATTATTATTGAGACTTTTAAAGTACATTTTTCTATTACATTTTAAAGTACGTTGGATTATAGTTGAGAACACGAATTGGCTTATTAAAAAAAAAGAAAACTACCCTTTCTATTATGCCACTTAGCAAAGTCAAGTGCCTGCATTTATTTCTAGATGTTTTGATTTCTCTAAATGATTCAAGGACATATGGAGTGTCTTTACTTAAGTGATTGGACGGTTTAGAAAACTTTTTATATTCTTGATTTTTTACTTTATTGTTTAGATTGCACAAGTATTACATGAGTGCATTGTCATTATTAAAAATAACCAAAGGCATAATCCAAAGTGAAAGTCTACAATGACAACCAGCCCCTGTCCCTCTGTAAATCTACTCCCCAACAAATTCTTCTTCACTCCCAAGGGTGACCATTGTCACCAGCTTGTTGTGCATCATTCCTCTAGAAGTTTTCTTAGGGGTATGTGTGTAGTGTATCTACTGGGGTTATGAACAGGTAGGTTTTTAATTTATAAGAATGGGATCTTACTATATGAATTAAGGAGCCATGGTATCCCAATGATTAAGTACTAGGCTGCTAACTGAAAGGTTGGCGATTTGAACTCACCCAGCAGCTCTGCAGGAGAAGGAGCTGGTGATCTACTTCCTTAAAGATTACAGCCAAGAAAACCCTATGGGTCAGTTCTACTCTGTCACATAGGGTCACTATGAGTCGAAAATAGGCTCAACGGCACCTAAGAACACCAACTTTATAAATTATTTTACAATTTGCTTTTCTTACCTATAATATATTGGTAACATCCAGAAATTCGATCCAAATTCAGAAGAGGACATGGATGAGGGATATCATTTTTGATGTCAGATGGATCTTGGCTAAAAGCAGAAAATACCAGAAAGATGTTTACCTGTGTTTTATTGACTATGCAAAGGCATTTGACTGTGTGGATCATAACAAATTATG